GAGCAAGTCCCAAAATTACGAATATTGCAGTACCACAGCAGTCGTTTGCCCTTACGAGCGACCGCAGAGGCTCTGCAATATTCATCCTGGTTATTCCCTCCTTCCCCACCCCTGCCCCGGCTCTCCCTAGGTACCAGGCCTTCAATCGAGATCCTTTGCTTTCTTGGCTGCTCCAGGTCTTTGGTGCGTTCGCAGGCCTTTGGTGCGTTCCATGTGCCTCCGGAGACTGGATCAGGGCGTCGGAGCCTTTTCCAGGCCACTGCCACCCAGATTTGAGGCCGGGGTATGGTATGTTTCCACGGTCCTCCAGTGGTCCAATCCGGGTGCCAAAGGCCTTTTCCAGGCTGCTGCTGCCCAGATCTGAGGCCAGGAGATGCTTCTGTGGCCCTCCAACGTCCCGATCCAGCTTTTGGAGGCATGTGGAAGGGTCCCCCGGCTTCAGATCCGGGTGGTAGCAGGAACCACAGCAGAGAGACGGATCTTTTTAAAGTGAGCGTGGCAGGAAGGGAGGGGGAAGCATGAGGTATCTTAGTAGGTCGGGGAGGCCTTGTGGCCCTGTTCCATCACTAGGCCCTCCATGGCCTTCCCCACCCTGAGATACCTCATGTTCACTTAACGAGCCGCGTGCGTCTTAATGAGCAAGGGAGTGATCTCGTTCGAGGTACGAGATTCACTCACACGAGTTTTTGAGTTACGAGTGGAATGGGCAGGCTTCATTCCACTTGTAACTCGAGGACTACCTGAACTTTGAAGAGCTTTCAGACACATTGATTTCAATAATTCTTTGAGCAGTTTTGATGAATTTGTTCCATATTTCAGTGAAAAGTGATTGAGAGCAGCTTTTTGAAATATGTTTTTAGAGTTTGTAAGTAAAATGAACCAAGGTAGCATAGTTTCATAATTTCTGTGTTTAGTCACAGCAATTCAGTAACACTGTGAGTATCAACCTTTTATTATTATTACTATTATGGTTAATCATAAAGTCAGCCAGATGTTTAGACTGGATTTGGCATTTTTATTCACCTATTGAGTCCTTCCCCAAGACCTGGGATAGGCAGATGTTTAATGGAGCTAAAGGTATCATAACGGAATGTAAACTGTTCCAAGTAAAGCTGCCTTTTGCAGTTGACTGATGGTGATTTTGTCAATGTTGGTGTTATTCAAGTGGTGCTCCTGAAGTTTTGGGATTGCACCCAAGGTGTCTATTACTATTGGTACTATCTTTGCTTTCTTTTGTCACAGTCATTCTACATCTATTTGCAGATCTTCATATTTTGTGATTTTCTCCAGTTCTTTCTCGTCTCTTCTGTTGTCAGCGGGAATTGTCACATCCACTCTCGAGATGTTTTTATCTTTCTTATAAACCGTTGTTAAATCTGGAGTGTTGTGTGGCAAGTGCTTTCCTGTTCAAATTCTAAAGTCCCAGAACAATTTAGCTTCTTCATTTTAGAAACAGTTAGATAATCTAATAACATTAGAACTAGTTAGTGATTCCATTATCCCAACATACTTTTGTTTCTAAATATAAACGCTCCTGGGGTTTTTTTGAGCTATATTGTATAAAGTTGGTACCAGTTAATTATTTAATTAGTCTCATACAAAATGGGGTTGCAATCTGATGCCAGCATTCAGCCAGTCAATTCCAAGCCGTCTGGTCCTCAGCTGGCTGGTGAGAGCCTCCGTTCCCTACCGGGAATGCTGAGTCCAAGGCTTCAAACTTTAATGGAATTAGATTAAATTTAGTAAAACTAGGTTTTGATTAATTTTAGTCCTGATCTGGAATTTAAATTAAATTAAGTAAGCTAGGCTTTTGATTAATTTTAGTCCTGATCTGGGTTTTGGGGCAGCACTGATCCCAGCACTGGGATTAAGGAAGAGAATCCACGAAAGGGAAAAAGGAAAGATACAACCTGTCCAGAAGTCTGATAAGGGAGCCAACCACAATCGTGTCCTGCTGGGCTGAAGACTAAGTCATGTCTGGGAAACACAGGACCCAGCAGGAGGCGTGGCTATCTTGTCAGACTTAGTCTAATTGGGCAGGAAGACAGTCTAAACCCATTCGTGGATTCTCCATCATCATGCTGAGAAAAGGCGTTCAGGAAAGACAACGCCCCCTTTTAAGCAGAAGTGCAGTGTGCTTAATCTAGGACAGTGGTGGCGAACCTATGGCACGGGTGCCAGAGGCAGAACTCAGAGCCCTCTCTGTGGGCATGCGCGCCGTCGCCCCAGTCCTAGGCCTTCAGCTGGGTTTTATAAAACCTTTTCGCTTTAGGCCTCCTCCGCCGTGTACAAAAAAAAGAGGTTCAATCAATCAGTCAATTTCAACTTCTCACGGGAAAAAAAAGATCTTGCAAAGTTGGAATTGATTGATTGAACTTTTTAGTCCCACCCAGTCTGCCGTTACCACCGCAGCCACACCCACCCAATGGGCCACGCCCACCCGGCACCCGACGATGCATAAGTGGGTTTTGGGTTGCAGTTTGGGCACTCGGTCTCTAAAAGGTTCGCTATCACTGATCTAGGAGCAACGATTCCTGGGTTCAAATCCATATTAAACTCACTTGCTTACCAGCAGAGGCCAGGTGCTTGAGTGGTTAAGAACCAAAACCAAGGTTATTATCCCGAGATTTATGGAGGAATGATGAAGATACAGTATTATCATAGGAAATGATAATGGGGTGATATGATGAGATTTTTGTTACATCTGTTCTTGTAGCATAACAATTCTTAGGATTCTGGGAAAAGAATTTAGCTATTATTCTTACTTTTAAATGCACTGTGGATAAGTGAAGGTGAAAAGGTGACCTAGAAAATACAAGTACAGCTAGAAGGTTCTTTATGTGATACAAATCTATTTTAACTGGAATAACTACGTTGGCTGACTAAGTATAGTGTTCCCTGGATGTTTTCTTTTACTGGATTTTTTGAAGCAGTATGTTTTGCTTACAAGGGTAGCTTTTCTGAACATAATAAAAACCAAGGTTTTAACCTAATCATGCTCAAAATTGCATGTTATTATTCTTTCATTGGAGAGGTGATTATGCAAAACCCCTGCCAAAAATCATAGAAAGTTTTGAGATACTAAGTGTTTCGCAGCCTATACAGGTTATTATCAGTATATACAGAATTTAATATACCAGACTAAACTGGCTTGCTAAGTACATGCCAATCTTGAGGTAGTGTGTTTGTTTTGCAAGCGTTTCTTAATACAAGTAGTCTTCTCCCAGCAGCCATTCAAAGTTATGACTGGCCCTTGAAGTTGGGGCGGTGACAACATGGCCGCAGTTATGTAACTGTGATCGAGGTGCTTGGCAATCAACTTGCACTTATAGTTACGATGTCCTGCGACTACATAATCACCATTTGTGATGTTTCCTGCCGGCTTTCCAGAAGCACAGTCAATGGGGAAACCCGCAGGAAAAGTTGTAAGTTACTTCAGTAAGGCACTTGCATCCTCCCCCACCCTGCACCAGGCACCCCTGGCTATACTCTTGCTGAGCCTCAGAGGACACTCACACACCTTCCCCTACCCAGCAGCAGCCACTCCTGGCATCACTATGCCTTACCTGTCTGCATCCCTGCTTGCAGCAACCTGGGAATTGCTTAACAAACCAGGATCCTTGCTTAACAACAGCAATGGGGAGTGTGGGATTGTCATCACTAAGCAGTGTATTCAGGCGATGTTGTGCTTTATAACTACATCACTTAGCAATGGAAAGTCTGGCCCCATTTACCTTGTAGTTAACTGAGGACTAACTGTAACTCCTTTAAATGAACATCTAATGTGTCTACAGTGTGATTTTGCAATGGTAATCTCTGTCCAAAATGTGGACTTTGCTGCCTTCGAATGAGTGGCCACTCTTTTGAAGACAGCAAAGTCCACATTTTGGACCGAGACGACCGCTGGTTTGAAAGAAGGGTCAAAGAGGCCATCTATGGCAAAATTGAACGGCCCTCTCTCCACAGGGGGGGAGGGATATGACATTATCTATCTCCAGTCTACAACACAGTTCCAAGAAGGCTCCACTCCCATTTGCACTACTCAGGTGACTCAGTTATATCATTCAAGTTCATGATCGTGAAAACATTTTCATTCTCTTTTATTTTAGTGGACTAGAGTAAAGATGTGCTTAACTCAAATTGAAAAATATGCTGAATTACATTAATTGTACCTTCCTGCTTTTAGGCCTTCCAGTATTCCAAAGAAACATCATTTCTTTGGCAGTTCAAAGCAGACTTTGATTGTTTTGGTTTTGAGACACTTAATCCTAAAACCAGCCTGCAGGTTATTGGATATAGACCATAAAACCTTGAGTATAATGCCTGCTTTATGGGAAAAGATTAACAGGAGGATTTACATCTGCTAATTATTTAATAGCATTGAAGCATTGCCTGTCCATTACATTAGATTGATTTTTCCTTACCATAAGAAATGTTCAGTGTTTTGGAAATGAGAATATAGCAATATATCCATGTTGGAATAAATAAGTATATATGAAGTTGGAAAAATAAAACCACATATGTACTGCTTACTATCCCTTTTATATGGACTTCTGCTCTGATGTAATAATACTATTAATGGCTACAATTTATAACATAGACTATTATTAGGTAACCCGCCCATTACTATTAGATTGATTCTCATTGAAGGTCATTTACTCTGTATTATTTTCTTTCATGTCTGTCCTAAAATGTTAAATTAAGATAATATCATCAAAACATCTACTAAAATGTTAAAATACATTTAAGGAACATGTTTTAGTGTCACAGTCTTACTTTCTTACCAATACAGCTTGAGAGACCTTTATATTTATGTTATATTTAATAGTGGCTATTGCCCACCATGTATATTTTAATTGTGGCTATCGTCCACCATTTATCAGAGATAAAATTGAAATTAAAACAAGTAGAAAAAAAAATAGAAATTACAAATAAAGAAAAGCATAAATTATTACTGTGCCTCTCAGCAGCAAATAATAGGAACTTTTGTTTTGTTACAGGAATGTTTACCCTTGCAGAAGTTGCATCTCTGAATGACATACAGCCAACGTACCGAATTCTGAAACCATGGTGGGATGTATTTATGGATTATCTGGCAGTTGTAATGCTCATGGTTGCTATATTTGCTGGAACCATGCAGTTGACCAAAGATCAGGTGGTTTGTTTGCCTGTGTTACAGTCTGCTGTAAGTGCAAAAATGCAACCCAGCCCCTTGGGAAGTGCCAAAGCTGCCAATATGCCAGAATTCGAAACACCAGCTATTCAAGACAAAGACAAACAGGCAACCATGACTGTATCTCTTGACACCACACCTGTCACTACGCCTGATGTACGTAGAACTGCCTATCCACCATTACACTCAACTGCTGCAAGCCAGGAAGTAAAGAAGGAGCAAAAAGATTTTCTGGGCCGTAAGACTAACTTGGATTATCAGCAATATGTTTTCATTAACCAGATGTGTTATCATGTGGCTCTTCCTTGGTATTCGAAATACTTTCCCTACTTAGCTCTTATACACACAATTATTTTAATGGTCAGTAGCAATTTTTGGTTTAAATACCCAAAAACCTGCTCGAAAATTGAGCATTTTGTCTCTATTTTAGGAAAATGCTTTGAATCCCCTTGGACTACAAAAGCATTGTCTGAAACGGCGTGTGAAGACTCTGAGGAGAACAAACAGAGACTAACTGGGGCCCAGTCCCTGCCAAAGCACGTATCAACTAGTAGCGATGAAGGAAGCCCAAATGCCAGTACCCCCATGATCAACAAGACTGGTTTCAAGTTTTCAGCAGAAAAGCCAGTTATCGAAGTCCCAGGTATGACCATTTTGGACAAAAAAGATGGAGAGCAAGCCAAAGCACTCTTTGAAAAAGTACGAAAATTCCGGGCTCACGTGGAGGACAGTGATTTGATTTATAAGCTCTATGTTGTTCAGACTGTCATCAAAACTGTAAAGTTCATATTTATTCTCTGCTACACGGCCAATTTTGTCAATGAAATCAGTTTTGAGCATATCTGCATGCCCAAAGTGGAACATCTGACTGGCTACCAAGAATTTGAATGCACACACAATATGGCTTACATGTTAAAAAAGTTGCTTATCAGTTATATTTCTCTCATCTGTGTCTATGGTTTTGTCTGTCTGTACACTCTCTTCTGGTTGTTTCGGTTACCCCTGAAGGAGTACTCTTTTGAAAAAGTTAGAGAAGAGAGCAGTTTCAGCGATATTCCAGATGTTAAGAACGATTTTGCTTTTCTCTTACACATGGTTGACCAGTATGATCAGCTTTACTCCAAGAGGTTTGGTGTATTCCTGTCAGAGGTCAGTGAAAACAAACTGAGGGAAATAAGTTTGAACCACGAATGGACTTTCGAAAAATTGAGGCAACACGTTTCCCGCAATGCTCAGGATAAGCAAGAATTACACCTTTTCATGCTATCGGGAGTCCCAGATGCGGTTTTTGATCTGACAGATTTAGATGTGTTAAAACTCGAGCTGATTCCTGAAGCAAAAATCCCCGCTAAAATATCCCAGATGACTAACCTCCAAGAGCTACATCTCTATCATTGCCCTGCAAAGGTGGAGCAGACAGCCTTCAGTTTTCTTCGTGACCACCTGAGATGCTTGCATGTGAAATTTACTGATGTTGCAGAGATACCAGCTTGGGTCTACTTGCTTAAAAATCTCCGAGAGTTGTATTTAGTAGGCAACTTGAATTCTGAAAACAATAAAATGATAGGACTTGAATCACTTAGAGAGCTAAGGCACCTTAAGATTCTCTACGTGAAAAGCAATTTGACCAAAATTCCATCTAATATCACAGATGTAGCACCACATCTCACCAAGCTGGTAATTCATAACGATGGTACCAAGCTTTTTGTACTGAATAGCCTTAAGAAAATGATGAATGTAGCAGAATTAGAGCTGCAGAACTGTGAATTGGAACGTATTCCCCATGCCATTTTTAGTCTCACTAACTTGCAGGAACTAGATCTAAAGTCGAATAACATACGCACAATTGAAGAAGTCATTAGCTTCCAACATTTAAAAAGACTAACTTGTCTGAAATTGTGGCACAACAAAATAGTCAACATTCCTTCTTCCATTACTCACGTTAAAAACTTGGAGTCACTTTATCTCTCCAACAATAAACTCGAATCCTTACCTGTTGCAGTATTCAGTTTACAGAAACTCAGATGCTTAGATGTAAGCTACAACTCCATTGCGGTGATTCCTGTGGAAATAGGGTTGCTTCAAAATCTCCAGCACTTGCTTCTCACAGGAAATAAAGTGGATATTTTGCCAAAACAGCTGTTTAAGTGCTCCAAGTTGAGAACTTTGAGTTTGGGACAAAATTGCATCACCTCAATTCCAGACAAAATTGGTCAGCTGTTGCAACTAACTAACTTGGAGCTGAAGGGGAACTGTTTAGACCGTCTACCAGCCACTTTGGGTCAGTGTCGGCTTCTCAGGAAAAGTGGACTAATTGTAGAAGATCATCTTTTTGATACGTTGCCCTCAGAAGTTAAAGAAGCGTTGAATCAAGATACAAGCATTCCCTTTGCTAATGGGATTTAAACAAAGCTCGAACCTGGTGACCAATATAGATCATAATTAAAGAGCACACTAATAAAATGTTGTGTTGAGAATTTTGGAACTCTTTCTTTTTATAAGAAAGGACTGTTAAGGCTGGCAGATGTCCTTTGGTGTTTGTAGTATTTTTAAACATCACTTCCAGAATTTTTGGAGAGCGAAGAAGAAGGGGTGGGTAATCCTTAAAAACAATCTTGATTTTTGTTTCCCTTATAAGATGTTTGTAACATGGATGCTGCCGCTTTTGAATGTTTACAAATTGCTTGCCTGCTTAATGTACATGATTAAATTGGTGACCTTTTCTTACTATAAATAATTTTAAATGGCTCTGTTCATTTTAGCATTGTGTTAGAAGCTATATTTTCTTTACTTTATAAAATTGGAATGATATTCAAGGAACTATTATTGCTATTGATCAACAAGAAAAACCTATAGATGATTCAATAATAAGTAATCCAATATAGTTTTCATCTGCCCTGCAATATCTAAATAGAAATGTGTTTTTTTTATAAACCTAATTGCAGTATAGTTGAGAAGCTCATCATGAGCTGCTATTTGGATGTTGAAATCCTTTACATCTTCAATCAGGATAGAGCTGGAAGGGACCTTGGAGGTCTTCTAGTCCAACCGTCTGCTCAAGCAGGAGGCCCTATACCATTTCAGATGGGTGGTTGTCCAGTTTTTTCTTAAAAACCTCCAGTAACGAAGCACCTACACTTTCTGAAGGCAAGCTGTTCCACTGGTTAATTGTCCTCACTGTTAAGAAGTTTTTTCTTAATTCCAAATTGCTTCTTGTTTCCATCCATTGTTTCTTGTCTTACCTTCTGGTGCTTTGGAAAATAAGTTGACCCCCTCTTCTTTGTGGCAGCCCTTCAAATACAGGAATACTGCTATCGTCTCACCCCTAGTTCTTCTTTTCTCTAGACTGGCCATACTCAGTTCCTGCAACCGTTCTTCATATGTTTTTGTCGCCAGGCCCTTAATCAACTTAGTTGCTCCTCTTTGCATTTTTTCCAAAGTCGCAGCATCTTTTTTGTATTGTGGTGACCAAAACTGGAGGCAGTATTTCAGGTATTCCATACTAAGGCTTTATAAAGTGGTACTAATACTTCATGTGCTTTTAATTCTATGCCTCTGTTTATACAACCAAGGATTGTATTAGCTTTTGGGGCTGCTGCCGTACACAACTGGCTCACGTTTAGGTGATCGTCCACTAAGATTCCAAGGTCCCTCTCACAGTTACTGTTTTTGAGCCAGGTTTTGCCTAATCTGTACTTGTACCTTTGGTTTTTCCTGCTTAGGTGTAAAATGAACATATTTGCTCTGGGGCAATACCCATATAATTCAGGCAGGCTTCTGAATAGAAACACATAGCATTCGACCGCAAATTTTAGCTGAATTTGGGGCAAAGGTTCTATTTGCTAGTTGTGTTTGAAATTTAAGGTTTATTCATGGAATAATAAAAGAAATTATTTTTATTTACCATCCTTCACTTTGAAATAATACTAAAATGTCTTAATCTTTCTATGCTAAATGCTTCTTAGGATATTTAAAATAGATGATTCCTATATTATGGCTATCATTACACATCATGAAAAGTTGTTTTTTTTTAAACTGACACTTGGCTTTTGTTCTGAATCAGGAAATAGAAATGACTTGTGAAAAAAATTTAAAATCTAGAAAATCTGTAAAAAGCAGCGAAACGATTTTCCATTAGTGTATAAAATGTTACATCCCATAATGGTTAAGGTAGACCGGCAAGGCCTGACTAGGCCAATGGCACATAAAGTTGTTACACTCTGCAGTGCGAGCAGCTTGTGGCAGAATTTTTTGCTTTATCAAACGACACAGAATGTACATCATCCACAAGCACGCTTCGGGTATCTTTGCCCACATGGATTTCCTCAAAGCAGGTAGTTGTGCATTAGTAGCCTTGTTTTCTCCCTCTTTAACTCACCAGGTAGAAGTCAGTATGAATGAACTCAACATTCTGCCCAACACGTGGAGAAAGCATTTTCAGTCAGCAGAATACAGTTTCCATAGCACTTTAGATATAAAAGCCTCTTTGGCACAAGTATCAAGGACAAAGAAGCCACAGAGGTTCCTGGTTAAATGAGTTTATTTTCGATTATACTCCCTAAAATAGAGGTGTCCAACTTTGGCAACTTTAAAGACCGGTGGACTTCCACTGCCCTGCCATAAAACAAATATACATGCAGCATAAATACTGCTGTTCTCCAGCACTGGAGATGGAGGATCCACCAATGGGTAGTAGACTGTATTCCTGCCCAATCAGATCAAGTCAGCCAAAGTTGCCACGCCCGTCCTGGACCATAGATCCCAGTCTTGACTTGATCTTGGGAGAAAGCGAATCAAAAGGCATCGACTTTCCTGAAGTGGGAATTCAAGTCTAGTTGAGGAAGAAAATCCCTTTATCAGAATAGAAGGAATCATCTGGGAAAAGACATGCTATTAAAAAATGAGTGATGCCACAGTACATGTCTGATGGGTCACAAGCTGTCATTTCAATGCATAGAGCTGTGAAAGCAGGCACTGCATTTTCATTGGCCGTCAGAACCACCTTTGCACATCTGGACCACAGTGACCCATCACAAAAGGGGGGAAGCCACATCAGTTAAAGAGCAGCTCTCTGATCAGCAGCAGCCGAATCGGATGCGGCATTAGAGCTCAGACTGGTGCTTCCGTACTTGGCTTGTTTACTATTTTAGTTGTTACCTTATGTAAACTGGTCAGTTACCATAAATAAATAAATAAAATAAAAGTCTTATCACGTGGCCATTTAATTATTATTTGCAGCTGCCAATTTCTTTTGCTTTGCCCTGCTCTGTTGCTATTTAAAATCAAGGGCCCAGCAAGAGGCAATATCACGCCATTTGCTAAAAGTCACTCTGGGGCGTGGGGGGAAAAATGCTTCAGTAGGAGGATCGGAGGAAGAAATGTGCTGTATAGAACAAGTAAAATCCAGTCCCCATTTCACAGATGGAAATGCTGGAGCCGTGACCAAAGGATTCTTTGCCATAAAAACACTGCAGTTTTTGCATAAATCGATCCCAGATTCACACCCTGAATATGAATCGCTTCCAGAAAATAGAGAGCAGCAAGCCAGGGCAGGGCTGCTTCTGAGTCTTTTGCTGTGTTATTCTGGCCTCACGCTACACTCACCCAAAATCCATGAAGAAATGACATTACGGCTGTGAAAAGTCCTTTGCGCAATCAACGATGACTTGCACACAATGGCCAGCCCCTCATCAGTATTTTTCCACGACCTCAGAGTATGCAGTCACTTCAAAGGGTTTGTAAAGAAATATCTGTAAAACTGAGCAGCATTCCTTGAAGAGAAATGAAGGTGGAAGTGCCACCTAATTCCACAGGACTCTTAAAGACTGTTTATTCTAATTATACATGTCATTTGAGCAGAGCCTAATCTAGGAGCAGGCCACTGTTTAGACCTCTTTGATAATCCTTCACCAATTAGCTGTACCTGCCAGTTAAACATTGATTGGCCCATTCTGAGGTCTCAAAATGCTTCCCTGAAAAGAAACAAAACGGATAGAGGCTTGATGTTACTTATAGGAGAGCTCCGCCCTCCCAATCAAATATCTGCACGATGACCTATTTTTGAGGAGAAGGTATATAGTGAGCACTCGGTACTTTTAAGCTAGCTTTGTCTTATTGCTGCTTGTTCCAGAAAAAAAGAACAACTCTCCCTGCAAAATAACAAAATTATTATTTGAAATTATTATACGAAACTCTTACCTCTGTTGTCTTTACATCAGGCAAAACAAATGTACACGGTAGCGAAAGGAAACCTACACGTAATAAAAAGTATCCTTAAAAATTTAAAATTTCTCATACCTGTGGCATTTAAAACAGAATTCCCAACTTCTTTATATGATTAGTTAATGTATCTATTCCTCCAAAGAACAAGAGGGAATGTCTATAGCTTCCACACTGTTCAATTTGATTTACACCAGCCATTATGACACACAGAGCCAATTTGATATAGTGCAGGGGTAGGCAACCTTGGCCCTTTTATGATTTGTGGACTTCAACTCCCAGAATTCCTGAGCCAGCATGGCTGGCTCTGGAATTCTGGGAGTTGAAGTCCACAAGTCTTATAAAAGAGCCAAGGTTGCCTACCCCTGGTATAGTGGTTAACACTAGAAACTGTGAGACTGTAAATGTTAGCCCCATCTTAGATACTAAGCCAGCTTAATGAACCAGTCTCTTTCTCTCAGCCCTAGGAAGGATGCAATGGCAAGCCACTTCCAAAGATGTTGTCAAGAAAATGTATGAACTGCTCCATATTTGCTAGGAGTCAATACTGATTCAAAGGCACCAAACCAACCAAAGCCAACTATGGTATAAGCCAGGGGTCTTCAAACTTGGCCCTTTTATGACTTGTGGACCTCAACTCCCAGAATTCGTCAGCCAGTGTGCCTGGCTGAGGAATTCTGGGAGTTGAAGTCCACAAGTCATAAAAGGGCCAAGTTTGAAGACCCCTGGTATAAGCTAAACCAAGAGAGCTTTGGTTCCAAACTCAATCAGTGAAGACTTGAATTCAATCTTCTGTCAACCCTGAACTGTCTTCTGTTGCTAAAATACTTTGCAGTGTGGTTATTGTTATGAGTAATTCTCTTTTTTGTGAGAGGTGAGAAAACTCCCTAATTTCAATTTTCATTAGCCCTAGCTAGTTAAAGCTGGGATGTTGTTAATTTAATAGGATATGGAGAATCACACATTCTCTACTTCTGATGCTTGAGGTCAGTGCTTGTATTCATTTGTTTTATCCCTCCTTTATTATTTTGACAAATGACTCAAGGCGGTGAAAGTATCCAACACACCTTCCTATTTCCCCCACAACAACAACCCTGTGAAGTGAGTTGGGCTGAGAGAGTGTGACTGGCCCAAAGTCACCCAGTTGGCTTTCATGGCTAAGGTGGACTTGAACTCATGGCCTCCCGCTTTCTAGCCGGATGCCTTAACCACTAGACCAGACCAGGGGTAGGCAACCTTGGCTCTTTTATGACTCGTGGACTTCAACTCCCAGAATTCCTGAGCCAGCTGGCTGGCTCAGGAATTCTGGGAGTTGAAGTCCACGAGTCATAAAAGAGCCAAGGTTGCCTACCCCTGCATTAGACCAAACTAGCTCTTGAATGAAATCTGACATTTAGAGAATTCCAATTAATAACACAGACAAAAAAAATGGATAGTGGACATATGGCAGTATCTGGAGATAGTAGAAGAGAAGAGAAAGAATTGGAGGAAAAATCACAAATGACAATGACCTGCAG